TGTATTCTTTATATAATGTATTCTGGGGGGAGCGCTCTGAAGTTCCAGAGATCCGCTTCCTTCAGAACTGAGTCCAACGGATCACAATGTACAGCTTATACAGGTCTGGATGGAAGAAGGACTTATCTCGCTGGTACATGTCCCCCATGGTGGTCCCCAACTTTGTCATTGGTACATGTCCCCCATGGTGGTCCCCAGCTTTGTCATTGGTACATGTCCCCCATGGTGGTCCCCAGCTCTGTTATTGGTACATGTCCCCTATGGTGGTCCCCAGCTTTGGCATTGGTACATGTCCCCCATGGTGGTCCCCAGCTGTGTCATTGGTACATGCCCCCCATGGTGGTCCCCAGCTCTGTTATTGGTACATGCCCCCCATGGTGGTCCCCAGCTGTGTCATTGGTACATGCCCCCCATGGTGGTCCCCAGCTTTGTCATTGGTACATGTCTCCCATGGTGGTCCCCAGCTTTGTCATTGGTACATGTCCCCCATGATGGTCCCCAGCTTTGTCATTGGTACATGTCCCCCATGGTGGTCCTCAGCTCTGTCATTGGTACATGTCCCCCATGGTGGTCCCCAGCTTTGTCATTGGTACATGTCCCCCATGGTGGTCCCCAGCTTTGTCATTGGTACATGTCCCCCATGGTTGTCCCCAGCTTTGTCATTGGTACATGTCCCCCATGGTGGTCCCCAGCCTTGTTATTGGTACATGTCCCCCATGGTGGTCCCCAGCCTTGTCATTGGTACATGTCTCCCATGGTGGTCCCCAGCTTTGTCATTGGTACATGTCTCCCATGGTGGTCCCCAGCCTTGTCATTGGTACATGTCCCCCATGGTGGTCCCCAGCCTTGTCATTGGTACATGTCTCCCATAGTGGTCCCCAGCTTTGTCATTGGTACATGTCCCCCATGGTGGTCCCCAGCTTTGTCATTGGTACATGTCCCCCATAGTGGTCCCCAGCTTTGTCATTGGTACATGTCTCCCATGGTGGTCCCCAGCTTTGTCATTGGTACATGTCCCCCATGGTGGTCCCCAGCTTTGTCATTGGTACATGTCCCCCATGGTGGTCCCCAGCTTTGTCATTGGTACATGTCTCCCATAGTGGTCCCCAGCTTTGTCATTGGTACATGTCCCCCATGGTGGTCCCCAGCTTTGTCATTGGTACATGTCCCCCATAGTGGTCCCCAGCTTTGTCATTGGTACATGTCTCCCATAGTGGTCCCCAGCTTTGTCATTGGTACATGTCCCCTATGGTGGTCCCCAGCTTTGTCATTGGTACATGTCTCCCATGGTGGTCCCCAGCTTTGTCATTGGTACATGTCCCCTATGGTGGTCCCCTGGCTTCACAAGCATTTTGTTGGACATTAAGGACCAAATTAAAAGTTAAAATGTTTTTCCCTCCACGTGACCTGGAAGTTCTGGAAGGTCCATAAAAAGGAGGAGCTGGGGATGGACATGACAGGTGGAAAAGTCACTTTTTATTACACGTGAGATTAGAGTTTCATCCGTCACCATCTGATAACACGCGTGTCACGGGGGCGACCAGGAAAGAGGAAGTTCACAGGATAATAATCCCGCTGAGGTCAGAGTGCCGGGAGAGAGAAGACTTTCCAGGGACTGGGGCCCGGAGGCCCCCGAGATCTCTTCACATGTTACACTACAAGGCCAAATATCATATCTTAGTCCTAGACCCACCCCCGGGGCCACTCCATAGGGCCATTTCCGTCAGGCGTGTTCCTGAATTGCCAACCATGACTTGCGAGGACTCCGTTCTGGTCCTGCACATGGATAAGACGTTACTCCGTTCTGGTCCTGTACATGGATAAGACGTTACTCCGTTCTGGTCCTGCACATGGATAAGACGTTACTCCGTTCTGGTCCTGCACATGGATAAGGCGTTACTCCGTTCTGGTCCTGCACATGGATAACACGTTACTCGGTTCTGGTCCTGCACATGGATAAGACGTTACTCCGTTCTGGTCCTGCACATGGATAAGACGTTACTCCGTTCTGGTCCTGCACATGGATAAGGCGTTACTCCGTTCTGGTCCTGCACATGGATAAGACGTTACTCCGTTCTGGTCCTGCACATGGATAAGACGTTACTCGGTTCTGGTCCTGCACATGGATAAGACGTTACTCCGTTCTGGTCCTGCACATGGATAAGACGTTACTCCGTTCTGGTCCTGCACATGGATAAGACGTTACTCCGTTCTGGTCATACACATGGATGAGGCGTTACTCCGTTCTGGTCCTGCACATGGATAAGACGTTACTCCGTTCTGGTCCTGCACATGGATAAGACGTTACTCGGTTCTGGTCCTGCACATGGATAAGACGTTACTCCGTTCTGGTCCTGCAGATGAATAAGACGTTACTCCGTTCTGGTCCTGCACATGGATAAGGC